TATCACCGCTGGGCAACCGGCTACTACGCGCAGAAACCGAGCTGACTGATGCTGGTGACTTATGAACTTCTTGAAGCCTCGCCCCATCTTTCATAACTGTGTCCTGTATTTTGGCCTTCAAGGCCTGTAACCTCTCCCTCTCACGTTCAAGAGTTTGCAGCTTTGCTCTGCGCTCCTCTTCAATAGATTTAGCAGCCAGCTCAAAGGCATAAAGGGAGTTGTATGCAGCGCTCCTGAAAAAGAGAAGTGAATTGCCTACAGCGAAGTCTTTGATGTCAATATACTGTCCTAGCATGCGAACAATGTCATCTTTATCTCCACACGCCGCTCCCCCAAAGAGTCTAGGGCAGTACTTCGGCAGGTCCTCAATACGTGCCACCACGGGAAAGCCATAGCTGAGTTTGATCAAAACACACAACACAGAAAAATTTCAATATATGCTTTTGCACACTGACGATAGGGGAGTGTATATCTATATGATCGGGAACACTTATCTCGCTCACCTCTGCCAATCCTCAACCTTCAGAAGCTCTTCATACGTCCAACTAGTCAATCCTGTAGAAACAGAATGCATGTATATTCCTACACTTTGCGCCTTCTGATTTAAACCAAGCTGCCTCGCCGAAGCCCTCAAAGTAACCACGGGGAGCCAGTGAGGCAACTGCTTCGCAAGCCCCCCAGCAGAAGCTACCCCTAAGGTGCGACGTGTTAGAGATATTTAACAAAAAATATGCAAAATGAATTTCTACAATGTGCATATTTGTGGAATATGTACGTACGAGAATCCGAGGAGCGCACGACAAGTACTGGTCTCTCAACCAGGTCAATCTCCAGGCAATCCTGAACGGCTTGGAGGACTCGAGCTGCACAGCTACAGTTGGCGATGCGACCACACATTCTTGTAGCAGATGCCTGCAACAAATTCCTCACCACAGCGACAACAAGTTTATCCTTATGCGAGCGTGCTTGTGAAACTTAATCTGTCTAAGTTTGCCAGGAGAGGAAGCCAAAAGAGGCACCAAAGAAACTCCTCCGTGGGTGCTTACAGAACGCAAAAGGTTCCCAATCAAACGGAATGTTGATCCCTTGATTGTCGATGACGCGCTTGTCAACTCTTTCAGATCCGTAGGAGACCACTGGCCCAGCCAGTCAATGAGTAATGAACCATCAGGTGTGACATTCAATATTTCTTTTGCGCAAGGCTTCGTGCTTGCCCACTCGATCCAAGCAACCACATCTGCAACGAATGCATGCCAAATGTTTGTATACACGTTCACTGCACAGCCTTAAGAATGACCCGTATCAACCCCAGCAAAAATATCTACACACCTTCCTGGTTTCTCGGTTCACTTGCAAGGAACGGGATGAGGCCGCCATGTCTTGAGAAGAGAAGCTGCAAAAGCAGCTGAGCATGTGGCTTCTGCGTTATAGAATTA